AATTCTTGAAAACATACGAATCTTCTAATTTCATGGGAACGACCTGAGACTGCAATCACGGCTTCAATTTTTGAATTTCAGAATAATTAGATGCACTATCTAGTGTATATAAGATATCTATGATCATTCTTCAGTCTATCATTCTTCAGTCTATCATTCTTCAGTCTATCATTCTTCAGTCTATCATTCTTCTGTCTATCATTCTTCTGTCTATCATTCTTCAGTCTATCATTCTTCAGTCTATCATTCTTCAGTCTATCATTCTTATGTCTATCATTCTTCTGTCTATCATTCTTCAGTCTATCATTCTTCAGTCTATCATTCTTCTGTCTATCATTCTTCAGTCTATCATTCTTCTGCCTCATGTGCAATATCAACAGAAATACAAACATTCGTGTTGAGCAGTAAACACGAAGCGATTTGTGATCTAAGGCTAACAGTGAAAAAGTCAATAACAGATTGATAGGAACTCTTTTACATACGAAATAAAATCGTCATTTAAAATTAATTACAGGACAATCATAATGGATACATTGAATAAGAACATTATTTACATGTACACTACTATACTAAATCACGTCTTGCCTGGCTTGCAACTTGCAAGAAGATACATTTTGCAACTAAAAATTCCCCACCATAGATACATGTTATATTTCTGGTTAGTGATGTATTTGACAAAATCACGCTTTGGCCAAACTTTTTGTTCATCACCGAGTATTGTTTTGACACATTTACAATAAAGCTAAACTAATAATGATAATTATTCAATGTCTTAATTTCGAAATATTTACAGCACAACTCCATTTTATGAAGTTCAATACTCAATGTTAATTAGGCATTTGATCACTACAGCTACAGTTTGTTAGTTAAAATAGGCCCCTTGGAACTCGCCTAAAAACATTTTGAACAAGAATATCTGGAGCACAAGAAAAATGCCATGCTTTGTTTTTCTCCTTTGTTTACAAATCCAACAGCTCCTCAAGTTCCCCAGTTACTCGTTGTTCTCGACTATTTTTAGTTAACTACAAAGAGCCTATTCGGCTAAGTATATGTGGGTCTCAATCAGTGAACTCTAAGGGAACTGGAACGATAACTTGGCGGCCATCTTTGAAGCCAAATTGAAGGCCGCCATGTACGTATGGAGTGGAAAATACGCCACCAAAAAGATGTCTGTTTTCGACCACTAAATAGCTGTATTTCAACAAGGAAAAAAGCTAAAAACTTTCAACAATACCTGAAATTTAATACAAAACATGTTTCCAGAACGTAGAGCAGTTATAAAGTTCTTTTTCCAGGAGTCAAAGTGCGAAGTTTTTTTCGGCACGTTCAAACTTGTGTAATATTTTGAATATCAAGCTGTTACCCAGGAAGTTTTTGCTGTTAGTGGATGTAAAATACTTAGAACTATCCAGGAAACCAGGTTTGAATCTTTAAAGTTGAAGCCTTTTGATAAAAAAGTACTTTTTCTTGCTGATTTTCGCTCAAAAACAAACTTTTGACTGAATTTCCCGCTCCTCGAAACTCTCCCCAGTCCTTTTGAAAGTTAATTTATTGCTGGCCGTGCTCGCGCGCGAGAAGCGCCAATTTGGCTTCAGGCAAGTATGGGCATGTTTATCTGCAGTTAGCGTTCCAGTGTTATTACAGTTCACTGGTCTCAATGGACAATTCCAGCTATAGTCGGAAATTTTGATCTTGACAAGAAGAACGAAAACCATTACCATAGCTGGAAAGAGCATCTTAAAATGAGTTAAAATTGCAAAGTTTGGTTGTGAATTGTTGTAAAATGAGTAAACCATAGCCCTGCGAAGTTCGCAAATTTTGTATATATTTACATTACAGGAAAAATAACCAGGTTTGAGCCGAAAGTGGTTATTTTTACCGGTTAGTTTCACAGTTGAGCGAAGTCATAACCAACCACGCGCTTCCAAGATGTTCCAGAATTAACAAGACCACAGTATCAAGATGGTTAAAATATAAACCATGAAATTTGACCAGGAATTATTTCGAGGTCAACCAAGAATTTTTCAACAGAGTATTCTTAGTGCGAAATAGCTCGACGAATACACCAACATACATTTTTTTACTAAGCTAATTTGAATTGTCTCCATTCATTTACGAACGCCAATTATATGGTGATTGCGCCACAGGCCGACTGTTCAGCGGCGTCTTTCGTTCGTAGTTTGGAAGATGTCCTGCGCCCCCCGGAAACTGCATGTGCACGTTACTAAACACCGATTGATGCGGGGGGAACTGCGTTAAACCCGTCTGGTGACCCAATGCTGCGAAATCCGCCGGCATGGAATACTGCGGGCGCATGTCTTGAGGCGGGTAGGCGTAAGGGAACCGAGACCGTACCGACTGGTCGCCGAGATATTCCGCGGAACGCCGATCGCTGAAATTATGGCGAGATACATCTTGAAAGTCTGGTAGCAAGCGAAGTTCTGGCACGCCAAGATCCTGACTGATAACGGATTGCCGAGTCACGGGGCTAGGGGACTCTGAACCTCGGGGAGAGCCTAGGGTACCCGGGATTTCGATACCACCACGTTGGTATCTATCGCCTGGGTCAATTTCTCCGGTAGCCTGGTGGATTTCCTCGGGTGGTGGGCTAACATCCCGGGAGTGTCGGTCTATATCCATACCATGTTGGTGCATTTCAGCCGGGGATAGATCATTTGTGAGTGGCTCAATCACAGCTGAGTTAGTCGCTTCGATATTGGGGTTCGTTTCTCCGATATTAGGGGTCAAATGCCCGCTATTTGGGGTTATTTGTCCGGTATGCTGGACAAATTCTCTGGAGTCCATATCTGAAGGGCTAGGGTTAATTTCCCCGCTAGTCAAATCTTGAGGGGTCATTTCTCCGGTGTTCATTTCCCGAGGGCTAAATTCTCCGGGGTTGATTTTCGTAGGGGCACTTTCTCCGGGGTTAATACGACCTATACTAGCGTTCATCTGTTCATTCGGCGAGGTCAATTCTCGGGTGGGCTGGACTATCTCTCGAGGCGATTGTCGATCAACAGGTGACTCTGTCGTGTTAGGTGTGGCTGTTTCCCCGGGGTTAGCCATGGACGGTCCCAGAGCGGTTTCGGAGCCGTCGGTAGACAGGAAAAGATCTGGGTC